CGAAACGTCGACATTGAGAAAAATTAGCGGTACTATTTCACTTGCTTCGTAGCAAAAACCTACACCTACAGAATTTGATTGTATCACAAGCTCAACCTGTATAGTTTTTCAATGATATGAATAGCTAATTGCAATGCTAGATTATTGCCTAGCTTCCGACTGAACGTGAATCACCCAATACACGACATACTAACCCAAACCGGGTAGGTTAAAAACCACAACAAACGAACATTTTCTTAATGTACTGTTTAATTATTAGGTAATTCGTGATGAGTACAGGAGTCGCTATTTATAAATTTTGATTTGACTTAGCATTAAAAAAAAAACAAAATAGGTTTCTTAGATTTTTATTTAAGAAAACACGGAAAACATTTCCTCACGGCAGTTTTATTAATTACCCAGCGTATCTCAGGAACGTCTCGCTACTATTGAAAATACACACACACGTGCTAGAGAATACCTAACGGTCAACGGGTCAATAAGAATAAATACAAAAAAAAATAAAGACCCGAGCACTAGGAGTCGTACTGAGGTTCGTAGCCGGTCCTCGCTACCGAACAACTCTTCATGTGAGTATCCATCACCCCTTTCGATATGAATCCCTTCTGGCATATCATGCACTTGTAAGGCCTCTCGCCCGTATGCGTCCTCTCGTGTATCCTCAACGGCGACCTCTGCGTGAACCCTTTCCCGCAAAACTTGCAAATGTACGGCTTCTCGCCCGTGTGCACGCGCTCGTGTTCTTTGAGTTGCTCTTTCCTCGAGAACGTCTTCGTACAAATCTCGCAAGCGAACGGCTTGTATCCGGTGTGTATCCTCCGGTGAAACTTGAGCTTCTCCTTGCTCGACAGTCTCTTGCCGCAGATGTCGCACAGGACCGACGCGTCTACACCTTTCGCCCCGTGGTGACTCAAATTGTGCCTCTTCAACCCGGTCGACGAGGTATAATGTTTGTTACAAATCAAACAGTCATACTTGACAAGCGGACTACCGGTCACGATTTCCCAGTGCTGGGTACGTCGGTGCGACGTCAGGAACCAAGAGAACATAAAGTGTTTGCCACATATCTCGCACTGGAACGGCTTCTCGCCGGTGTGAAAGTACTTGTGCTCGAGGGCGTGCGTACTAATCGTGAACGCTTTGCCGCACATCTCGCACTTGTACTTGGTAGTACCTTCGTGGGCGCGCACGTGCATCTCGACGTGGTACTTGGACGAGTTTTTGTAATCGCACAGGTGACAAGAGTACTTTTGGTCGTCGCTGTGATGGATCGAGTGCAACGCGAAAGCGACGTTATTTTTGTACGTCTCGTTGCACACCTCGCACTGGATAGGTTCGTCGAGCTCGACCGGGGGAGGGTGGGAGTTTTTCTGCTTGCCCCGTTTCGGTTTCTTCTTGTCTTTTAGCAGGCACGACAAGATGTTTGCGCCGTCGGCGTCGGCGTCCTCGATTTTCAGCTCGGACTCGTCTATTTTCGGAAAGAAGTTAGGGTCGAAACCGTTGTAGTCAAAGGTAGGGGCGGGGTTGGGATGGTGCAACGCGGAGTCGTAGCCCGAATAGTCGACGTTTTCTTGTTTGATGGGCGTTATCGATATGCCGGGGCCGTAGATGAGGTTGTTTAGTATCGACGTGTCGAAGTACCTGAAAAATAAGCGGGTCAGTACGGCAGACCAAGAGGGCGGTACCGACCAAGAATCGATCGAAAGCGTATGCGGAGAGCAACGACCTTTACAAACGGGATGGCAAAAAGTGCTCTTTCCACCCCAAATACGCGTTATATACAGTATGCCCGGTTGGTGGGGATGGTCCATCCGTGGTGCATTACTAAAATCCAGAGCCACTCTACCGACCTTGAAAATTTGCAAAAACAGTAGCACACATATTCAACTTCTAAGTCATCGCCTCAAGGAGAGATGACGTCACTAGATTTGACATGAGTCAAAAGAGCTTGCAAGAAATTACAGGCTTAAAATATTGTCGGCAATAAATCTACTACTACTACTGTTTGACATAGTGCAAGTCTCATGCTATTAGCACATAATAGCACAACAATAATTGAATGTAATCAACGCTGCTAACCTAAAACACATCCCCTACCCCGCCACTCAAACAATATTTCACTTTTTATTTCCTGATTGTGATTTTGAAAACGAAAGCAATAACAACACCATCACAATGTTGACATTTTGTGAGTTGGCGACACAAAAGTCACTAGATAGGTTAACCTAACTAACAAAATACTTTGGACTTAGTTTGCATACTGAGCGAGATATGGCAGCACACCAACAGATTATGATATTTTATAAAACGGTTATATTTTGCTCAAAAAAAAGTATTTTAAAAAATATAATTCTTCTTAACTTTATACATAAATAAATGAGAATTAAGGTTCAGTTTTCAATTGCTTTTAATTCTCATAAGGGTAGGTTAAATATCACAGTTCATTAAAATTTCAATTTTCACGTAAAAATTTGGCTTCGTAAAAGGTATATATATATTAACGTCAGTAAAAATTCAAAATACCTTAAAAACTTTTTAAAAAATTACCCTTAAAGCTTATTTTTGTATCTCTTACCATTTGTAAGATATGAACCATATGAACAAAAAAAAAGCAACCCCCGATTGAAAAATACCATCCTTAATCGTCTTGTTGCTCCCTTTTAGTAACGATTAGACTACATAAGACATAATCCTTACAGGTTCTTTTCCATCAATCCGCAGAAAGGAACGTAAATATACGCCGAGTTAGCGAAAAACAAGAAATTAAGAAACTTTATTGGATAATAAAATAATTCAATTTTCTAACAGTCAACAAAAACAAATATATCCGTGTTCCTATCTATAATCTGACTATTGCAAACTAGACTATTCCCCCCGAACAGGAACGCATGTGGGCGTCGAGCACACTCTTGCAGATACAACCCTTGCCGCAGAGTCTGCAAACGAAAGGCCTCTCCCCCGTATGGATCCTCAAGTGGATCTTCAGTGGTCCCCTTTGAGAGAAGCCCTTCTCGCAGTAGTGGCAAATGAACGGCTTTTCTCCCGTATGAACCCTTTCGTGTTCCACCAGCAAACCTTTCTTGCAAAACCTCTTTCCGCAAGTGCTGCAAATGTGAGGCTTGTACCCCGTGTGGGTCCTCTTGTGGAACTTCAGAGTCTCGTTGCTTGACAAGCTCTTGCCGCAGATGTCGCAGAGGGTGGGCACTTTGGGTTCGTGTTTTCGGATCTGATGCTTCCTCAGCCCCGACTTGGTACCGAAAGTCAGCCTACATAACGGGCAGGTGAACAAGTCGTCTTCTTTTTTCACCCCATAGTGCAGCAGTTTAATGTGGGTGCTCAACAGCCACGAGAACATGAAATGTTTGCCGCACATCTCGCAGCTGTAGGGCATCTCTCCCGAGTGGAAGTTCTTGTGCTCTTCCGCCTGGACGGCTTCCGGAAACACGTTGTAGCAGACCTGGCAATGGTGAAACGACCTCGAACTGCCGTGGCCCTTCATGTGTTTGACCATGTTCTTATCTTTCGAGGTTTTGTAAGAACAGTACTGACAGTAGTACTTGTCCGAGTGCTCTTTCGAGTGCAGCGCAAAGTCCACGCTCGTCTTGGACACGTGCTCGCACAGTTCGCAGGCGAACCTGATCTTGTGGTCGTTTTCTTTCGTCGCCTTATCCGCCATGTTTGTCGGATGTTTCGGCAAATCGTTCCCGGGTGTCCTCCTAAAATAAACAGTAGTAAGATGTTATTCTCAAATTGATACGCACTCGCGCGAGTCCACAATTGCCGATACGTTTTATCGTCCGGCAAAAAATTTTTGATGTGTTAATCAAACCACTTTGTTATTGGCGTCGATGTTCTCCAATATTTTCCATAAAATTGGAGTAAACCATAGATAGGACGCTGGGGAGAGGCAGAGGTTGTTTATTACAGAGGATTTGCCATACAAATCACTACGAAATAACTTGTTTAGATTTCGACAAGTCGTTGTGAATCAAAGATCCGTAATATCAATAATCGACAGCCGCGTTTTTCAAAATATTTATTTAAAACAAACATAGAGATGAAACAAAATCTCCTACATCATGGCGTGTTTGTTTTTCTGGTGCAACCCCAGCGCCCCCTTACTGACGAACCCTGAATCGCATACTCCACAAGTGTAAGGCCTCTCGCCCGTGTGGTATCTCATGTGCACCGTGAGCGGGGTCTTCTGCGTGAAACATTTTCCGCATATCTTGCACTCGTAGGGTCTATGACCCGTGTGAGTCCTCATGTGAAGCTTGAGTGTGGTTCTCAACCCAAAACTCTTGCCGCACTCCTTGCACTCCAGCGGCTTCAAGCCCTCGTGGATCAACATGTGATCTCTAAGTGATCGTTTCGAATTGACCTTCTTGCCGCAGTGGTGACAGATGAACCTCTGACCGCCGTTTTGGTGCATGCGCAGGAAATGGTGCTTGAGGTACTTCTCCTGCAGGAACGTCTTGTTGCAGATGTCGCAGCGAATATTGTCGTTTTTGCCGTAGTCGTCGGCGTGACGGGCCATATGACCTTGGAGGGCGGCCTTGTCGTAGCAACTTCTGCCGCACACGCTGCAAATGTGATTGCTGGTGCCGTGTTTCGATCCTATGTGGTTGTTGTACTCTTGGTTGGTAACGAAACCGACCCCACACGTTTCGCACTTGGCGACGTACTCTTTGAGGTGACGTTTGCGGTGGACCGTCCACGAACCTTTCGATCGTAACCTCTTGGAGCAGAAATCGCACTCGAAAGAGGCGGGATTACTGCCATGGACCCGTCTCGCGTGCGTTTTGACGTCATATTTCCGCTTGAATCGTTTCTGACACAAGTCGCAAGAGTACGGTCGCAAGTCACTGTGCGAAAGGAGGTGCTTTTTTAATCGCCGCGTGTCTTTGAACGGCTTTCCGCAGTTGGGACAGGTTTTGATTTTGCCAGGTTTCAACATCAGCTCCGCCTTGACGAGGTACGACGCGGACTGGAACCTAAAAATTGTTACGTAATCAAAACGATTTGGTGACACGCTGACGTACATAAAGCGCAATGGTGGATCTCGTTTCGGATATGATCGGTCTTCGGCACTCACGTATGCAAAAATAGGAGACAACTAGGGCGGAAGCAACACACTAAATCAGTAAATTAACATAAAGGTTGAGCGGAGGAGACTGATTATTATAAATATTTAGTTAACAATAAAAAATGTGTAATTTTTATGTCATTTAAAAAAAATTAATTAAAAAAAAAACAGTTTGGCGCAAAACAAAATAAACTCAATAACTACCAATAAATTGAAATTCTTTAATCTAACTTATAAATAAAATAGTATACCCGTATGGCTACTAGATAAATTGAAAGTAGAGGCATAAAAAATTATTTGCGGAAACATGGCCGCCGTTGACAGCGTTGGCTGTTAATATGATCACCTGCCGTTCAATTTTCAGGAAGAAACGAGTTAAGTGTGTGAAGATCAGTGTTTAAAAATATTATCTATCCGTATACAGAAACGAGAAAAATATAAGATTTTTGGTTCGAATTTCGTCTAAAGACCTTCCATTACGTTTCGTTTAAAGTTTCGGTGTATTCGTGTCGCATTTGAGTGTTTTCGGATAATATTTTTCGTTATCCGCGTATTGTATTTTCCTCATATGGTATACCTGAAGAAGTCCAATCGAGAAAAGAAAAAAATTGGCATATAAACTGCGTTAAACATTTCTTTACCACAAAGTAACGTGTCAGTACATTTGGCAGCAACTATCATCAACAAATGTTTACATATTTATCTACACAGTCTAAGACTGCTTCTAAAATAAATATAAGTAAGTGCCCGTTTTTTTTAATTTGAAGTGGAAACACCGTGTATATTTTAAAGATCTGTGATTTTCATTGTAAAAAAAAGACTCACATTAAAAAAGCTTCAAATTTCATTTGAATAAATAATGATATATATAACATAAATAAATAAATAAATGTAAAAGTCATTGCTTAGCTGAACACAAATTAATACAAACTGTTTTCGATTTTGCACAACCAAAATTTCTAAAAGAAGGTTCTTTTCTGCCAATTGATCACCTAAGCTTTTTCAACAATTTGAACTTAAAAGTTATTCCGTCCAAAATAACAACTAAAGTCACTAAAAGCTAAAATTATGTATACACTCTTATTAAATATGTACACACTACTAATAATTTACATACACGCATGTTATTTATTTTGCTCAGGCCCAGATTATCCGAGTCATATCGCTTTGCCATCTGCTCTGCTCATTGTGGAACAGTGTCTCGCTTTTATAGGTCGGGAAAAAAGATCTTTCGCCATAAAAATAAAAACTTGCACACAAACTCACATACACTATCTCCTGTAGGTCGTTCCGCAAATATAAAAAATGAAATATGACATATTTCTACTGCAATTTGGATTTTAGACAGGCCATCTTCGTCGAGGACACAGCTATAACTGATCGACAGTTTACCCCACCAAGTAATAAAAATAAAACAAAACATTTGTCCCAAATCGTTTATTCACAAATTATATTGGCTATATTGGCTGGAGGATGGGCAGCTAGAGTGACGGTGAGTGGCAATTTTATTTATGAAATGAGCATATATATATTTAACAATAAATTTAAAAAAATTAATCAAATTGATCTGAAAGTTTTCAATATGTCTTAGACAACGATTTCAGCAATTCTCGCTGGTTCAAAACTATTGAATGCCACCTGAAGAACGGTGGTTCTCATGCATTCACAACGCTTGCAGGGACTCGTGGATCGGATACGATATATAATCGATATCGACTCCGCCCACGTCGTGAGTTTTGTAATGGGTCATCAGGTGGCTTTTGGTCGTAAAATTTTTGCCGCACTCGCACCTGTACGGCCTCTTGCCCGTGTGGTACCTCGAGTGCACCGTGAGGGACGTCTTCTGCGTGAACCTTTTGCCGCACACCGCGCACTCGAACGGTTTGTTACCGTCGTGAATCCTCTGGTGGATCGCAAGGTACTCTTTGGACGCGAAACCTTTGCCGCACACGTCGCAAACGAAATCCTTCACGCCCGTGTGCATCTTCACGTGAGTCTCGAGGATGCTCTTGCTGCTCACCGACTTGCCGCATATCCTGCACACATAAGGCTTCACCCTCGAGTGCACGATCATGTGACTCTTTAAATTCCTCGGCGTTATGTAACGCTTGCCGCACACCGCGCAGCCGTGCGGTCTCTCCTTACCATAACCCGGCCGGTGAGTAACTCTGTGCTCTTTGAGGGCGGACGTAGTGCTCAAACTCGCGCCGCACGTTTCGCATATTAAGCGCGCTTTTTCGTGACGCGTGCTCACGTGCTTGGCGTGATCTCTTTTTGACACGAACCCGATGTTACACTCTTCGCAAAACGCCACGTATTCGTTAAGGTGTTTCCTTCTGTGGACGGTCAGGTGTGACTTGTGGATGAACATCTTCGAGCACACGTCGCACTGTAACGTGGGCTTCTCGTGCGATCTGGCGTGTGCTTTCACCTCGTACCGGAAACGAAAGAGTTTGCCGCACTCGTCGCAAGGTATTTTTCGTTCCCGCGTGTGAATTTCGAGATGCTTCCTTAACAGTTTCTTGGTGGAACATATCCGGTCGCATTGGTCGCACCTGAAAGTCTCCTTCTCCGGTTCGTGATTTAGAGGTTCAATGACGGTGTTGGCGACGAAATCGCTCTCGTTTATGAGCGTGTCGAATTGTTGATCGGTGGCGATGTTGTTCAGGAGGGCGGTACATTCTTCTTCGGTGGATAGAAGATTGAGCAGGTCCGAGTCAGAGGCGTTCAGTTGGTCGACTACGGAGCTGGCAAGCACGCTGTCGGGTTTCGTGCCGTCCAAAGTGTCCAGGAGGTACTTGCACGACATTTGAAGGTTCGGGCTGATCGAGTCGATATTGAAAGTTGAATACAGCTGATCGTGATAAGGCAATCTGGAAATAGTTTCGTTAAGGAGAGCTTTGCGACATCGATTGCGTACTTACCGCAATTAAGCTAGATTCTGCTAAAAAATAAAGAAATAAGTGAAGCTACTATATTTGTATTAAGTATGCGAAAATCGAATACACTTTTGACGTTTCATTCATATTTCATTCCTCTTATTGCATTCTTTTCCTACTTATATAGAAATTCTTTGTGATCCTGTGAAATAATAACTCGATAGCTTAACTAAACAACTACTACACAGCATTCCAGCATTTTACCACCTCCACCAAAAAGGGATTTATTTTTTCTCTCAAAACACACACAGTAAAAACGTAAAAAGCAATCTTAATTACTAATATCAGACAGACTGGTCAATATTTAGAAAAATATGTCTCAAAAAAACTTTAAAAACTGAGGTAAATATTTGTATTTTAGATCGATTTACCACTAAAAATGTTCACAGTAAGAAATATAAACGACAAAGTAAAATGAATATTTTGGAGTTTGCAAAATTTTTACGTATCACGTGGAGCATTTAAACAATGGAATCGGTCTTGGAAATGGAGAAAAGCAAAATATGGAACGCAAAAAGATTCGTTAACAAAGTAAGACTTATATTTTTCTTTATTGACGCACTACAACACGACATTTACCGCAAAACTGATGTCGATACAATAAAAAAATTAGCACCGTTGGAGAAGCATTTAATAAACAATAATGTACCAACTGAATCGAAATGAGAAAAATAAACGTTCTTTCTAACTTACAAACTGCGACAATCACATAGAGTACAAGAAAAAAATTACTTTTTTCTTCGAACGGTGCGCGATCATTGGTAAATCGTCTGGACCGTAATTTCCCCGTCCGTATTCAAAGCAACGTTTCGAGGTCTGTACATTCGACGCGACGCTTGCATCGTAACGTAACACTCCTGATGCCGATGAGATGTTAAATCCCCGAAATTATCGGCTATATATGGGCAGTTCATGCAACAGTGCTTGTCGTGCAGCTCGAAATAATGCAAGTTTAATATCGCCTTTAGGCAATGCTTAAAGCCGCACAGGGTGCACGATTTCCTGTTGCGCACGTGCCGATCCCACTTTGCCTTGTCCTCAAACTTTTCGTGACATTCGCTGCATTTGACGAGAACAGGCCCACCGCTCGGTGCTTTCAACTCGCTCAGTTTCTTCACAAAAATCTTCGCCTTGGCCGGCGCGGGTCGCCCGACACTATCTTCGACGATCGTCACGTCGTCCGACGTCTCCGTTATCTTCTCGACTCTCCTGTACTGACGTAGGGTCGACACGTGTTGCGCAGGCTTGCGAATAAATTTCACGAATTCATTCTCGTAGACCGACTTGGGGGCTTCTTTGGTCGGTTGGGAGGTGGGCGAAGGTTGTGTGATAAATGGAGGGGGTGTCTGCTTTGCCGCGGTTCGTTCGGACAGGACGATACACATCGGGTTGGTAGGCGCTTGACTAGCCACGCTACTGTTTAAAATAATGGGCTGTTGTTCCACGTTAGGTTGAGAGTTGACCACGACGCCCCCGCTGCTGACCTTTTGATTGACAATGAACTGATTTGGGGCTGCGCCCTGGACCACGCCGCTGGAGTCGATCAAAAAGTAATTGGGGGCGGCAGAAGTGGACGGAGGAGCCTGATTCACCAAAACGTAATTTATTTGAGACTGGTGCGCGATCGAATTCATCGGAACGTATCGGGGACTCGTCGGTTCAATCACCGTAGGTTTTTTAATGGCAAACTTCTTAATCGGAGGCTTCTGGGGTGCCATCATAAGCCCCGAGGTGGGATCTGGTTGATTGGGTTTCGGTTCCTCGTGAACTTTCGCAGTTTTAGATTGCGGCGCAAGCATCTTCCTAATGACGCCGGTCAGCTGCGTCTGGTAACCATCTCCCGAGCCTTCGGATGGTTTGTCAGGCGGTTTGGGTCTAATCTCGATATACTTCGTTTTCGAAGTCGAGTAAATTCTCCTCAACCGATCGTTCATCTGTCTCGACTTTTTCGGCTGGGTTGTCGTCGCCATACGCGGGCCGTTAGGTACTTCGTCCTCGTCGTCGATCACTATCGTGTCGTTCCTGTTGTCCATTTGCTCGTGGAGCTGCAGGTGTTTTCGAAGCTCCGCATCGGACGCGAAAGCGTCGTAGCAAGTATCGCAACTAAAGCTGACGACGGGTTCGCTGCTAGGTGGCGGAGTGTGCTGCATCAGGTGGTCGAGGAATCCGCCCCTAGTGCCGAAATATTTGCGACACGGCCGACAATTGTACCTGCAGAAATAATTTATGTGCGGGTGTTTTCTGACATCGTTATGAGAAGCGAATTCCACCACGCACGACATGCACTTGTAATTCGCGTTGTCTTCGCTAGAAGGCGGTTGGAGATCCTGAACGACCAGACGGGGCGGCGATTCGCACTTTGCAGGTTGCGGTCGTTGGACGACGGGTGCGGCATCTTCGTTTTCGCTTTCCTGCTCCTCCAGATCATCTGCGTTGAAATCGCTGTCCGTATCCAAAGTCACCGAAGAATTTACCGGTTCGACATCCGACGCGTCGCTGTTTTCTTCGTCCAAATGGATTATCTTGTGGATTTCTAAAGCTTGGCTGTTCGAGAACTTGCCGAAACACATGTAGCACGTATATTTCCGGCGGCCTTGGTCGCTGCAAGACTGCTCGTTCAGGCGGTCGAGGTATTTTTGGTAGCCAACTTGTTTGCTAATGTCGGCGAGCTGGACCGTGCACTTTAATTTCAATCGGTCGTCGTCGTGCCTAAAAAATAGTTTAAGTTTTATTGCGTCGTCGGTAGGAGAGGGACCGGTGCGTTCGTGGGCGAAGTTCGTCGAAATAAAAGCCTCCACTTTGCCACTTTGGTTTTATTCTAGAAAAGTCAGCGGAACTACACCTGCGCACTCAGTCTTTTCGTGAGACTTAAAAAAAAACATCGGAAATGATTTAAGTTTCTTTATTAAACTTTGTACACACTCGGGAAGAAAATAAAGATATTAGAACGTTCACGTGTCTTTTATCGCGTCTTTGGCCACCTGGACTTGATCCTATCCGATCCGCACCCCAAAGACTAGCGAAAAACAACGGGTTTCGTAGATATACAAAACGTGTTTCGACGGCCCTTCGCCAGCTACTCGTTGAGCTGGAGAACGGTGATTTTGGCGACTTTCGAGTGCGTAGCTATGTGTTTCTTAAAGTAGTACTCGTCGGCGAAACTCCTGCCGCACACCTCGCACTTGTGCCTGATTCCCATGTGCCTGTTCTTATAGTGGTTACGGTACTCTCTCACCGTATAAAACCCCTTGTTGCACTTTTCGCATCGGTGCCGGAACTGATCCAGGTGCCTCAGCATGTGCTCTTTGACGTTCTTCTCGTACATGAACGTTCGGAAACAAAAGTTGCATATCGCGCGATCCGTGTGTTCCGCCACGTAGTGCTCGTAGAAGCCGCTGTTGTTGGTGAACGTCGCGTTGCAAGCGTCGCAATTGTTCACGTAACATTTTCCCTTCTCGATGTGTCGGAAAAATTGGAACTTGCTTATGAACAATTGCTCGCACCTCAGGCATTTGTAGTGGGCGACGTCTACGTCGTCGCTCGCCTCGACGTAAACGTAATTGGCGGCCGAGAAGTCCGGCACCTCGTGCCTCTTCCTCGGCTGCGGCGCCCTAGGCTTCGGCACGGAGTAGACCCGTTTGGTAGCCGTCTTCATGGGCAACGCGACGTCCTTGTCTACGATTACGTTCGAGGCTAAAAGTCCCTTCGCGCTGGGCAACATGTAACCGTGTTCCAAATTCACGATGGATACAGGATCCCCCGTCTTTTCTAAAGGTGCGCCGCGCTCGTCCTCCTGGATAACCACCTCGTTGACGCAATTATTTTCGTCGTCGAGAATGTAAAGCAGCTCGCTCGGCTGGTTGACTTCTATAATTTCCTCGTGGTCGCCGTAGTTGAGGACGAGCTCTTCTACGATACCGTCTTCGGCAACCTGGTCGTCTTCGTAGATGATACTTTCGGAAAGGTCGCGATGGGTATCGTGGTGCTCGTACAATTCGGTGGAGGTAAAGAAGATGGCGCCGCATTTGCAGCACGTGAACCGTTTGCCGAACATCGCTACGTGGTGTCGTAGGAATTTACTTTTAGTCGCGAACAACCTCGAACATATGCCGCACTGGTACTGATCTGCGGAAGTGTCGTCGTCGTCGATGTCGATCATGTCGCAGCCGTCAATCGACCTGCAATGAGTCTGCGTGAGACCAATCGGGTTTATTAGTTTTATCAACTACCTCAATTTCAGAGGCAAATATGAACATTCGGTTAAACCAATTTAAAATAGGATTGCTATTCTATAAAATACAAACCTACCTATGCAAACCAATACTAGTATGACTCAACGGGTTCTGGGGCACAAGGTAACCCATCTATCTCACGTCCGGACATGATGAACTAGTGATGTGGCGCTGTCAGGAATAATCCGAACGAAATAAAACAAGAACTATACTAAGCAATTTATTTCATTAGGTGTTAAAAGTTGGGATCAAGAAGGGCAAAAAAATCCAGGATGACCAAAATATTTGTTTATTTGTACCCCAGATGTACTCGTCTATACGTACCTAGAGCAAAACGCTGAAAAATACACATTTGTAGCACTCTCTAATCGACATTAAAATTTACCGTCTATTGCACCTATGACTTTTCAGTAAAGCGTTAGACACAAACCTCTTCTGACACGCCTCGCAACCGTACGGCGTAATACCCAAGTGATGACGCATGTGGATGGTGAGCGGAGTTCTCTGACTGAACCCTTTGCCGCAAGTCTGGCACATGAACGGTTTCTCTTTGGTGTGCACGCGTCTATGCATCTCGAGCACCGTCTTCTGAGCGAAGCCTTTCGCGCAAAACTCACACTTGAACGGCCTCTCGCCGGTATGCGTGCGCATGTGATTGGTTAGGCTCACCTTCGAAGACACGTTTTTACCGCACACCTCGCAAATATTTTTCTTCTCGTCTCGATGCGCCTTCAGGTGGTTCTTGTAATTGGAATTGGTCAGGAACACCCTGTCGCACCATCCGCACACGTATTGCTTCCTGATAACGACGTCTTGGTGATCGTCGCAGCTCTCCCCCGTGCTGCAACTCTTGCAGTCGACCGAGTCGTCTCGGTGGTGCTCGTTGTGCTTCTTCAATTGGTACGAATAATCGAACCGCAGGTCGCACTTGGTGCATTCGAATTTGAATTTATTAAAGTGGCGGTTTTCCACGTGGCGCGTCAATTGCAATTCCGTGAGGAACTTTTGGTCGCAGTGCGCGCACAAGCACTTGTACTGATCGACGTGCGCCCTTTTCAGGTGACGCGTGAGGTTGCTTTTGTATACGAACGTTTCGTCGCAAAATTGACAAGCGTAGAATTTGTCCTCGTGCCTCCTCGAATGAACCCGCAAGTTACTTGGGCTGGAAAACGATTTCCAACATATGCTACAAGTATTTGCGGGTATTCTGAAACAGAGTTCGACCTTAGACAGGACATTTAAGAAACACTAATAAATAATATAAATTCATCTCAATTTTTTGACTAAAAATCGGATTGGTCTCCCATTTAAGTGGTAGGAAGTAGTGTCTGATTTTCAAATGACGGAGAAATTATTTTAAGAGTATTACGTTTTCGACATGCATACCTCAGTATTAATAAAGGTTCAATAACCTCTAAGTGTAAGTGCAAAGCTAATGGAAAAAGAAATTTTTATGCCATCGAGGTAACCGTTAAAACAAAAAATTTTAAGCACATAAGGGATACTAACAACAAAAAAAATTCAAAAACATCGCGGTAGTAAGGAATTAGGGTATTAGGTATTTCACTCGACTTTTCGATGAGTTATACCTCTCTTGACTACACTTACCGATCTTCTATCTCTATCTATCTTATTGCTCGTCATGTACTGCAAGTCATTCTATACCGGATGAGTCATTCTCCAGACACAAGCAGTTTCTGCTATTACAGTGGATGTTGTTTACAATTATTTTTATTGAATTATTTATTTAAATAAACGATATTAATATAACTATATTTCTATCTAGACCCTATATATACATACAAAACTATAAAATAAGAAACTCTAACTAAAACACTCACTTTTTCATGGGGTCCCATTTATTTTAATTTTTTAAGGACGATGCTAATTAATCAATGTCTTCCAATGTCAAAGACAAACCGTGTAAGACGCAGAGCAAACTGACAGTATTCTCCTTAAATTATTTACACAATAGTTGCCCCCGGTTTGTCGATAAAAATAGTGTTTATAACTTGGTTCATAAATCATCGGTTGTCGATCATTTTGTTGATATAGAAACTGATTAACAACTGAATACTTTTCAATTCCGTCTATCTTGGACATTTTCTTATTGTTTTCCTTAAAAGGAGTAATATATTTCGTTCGGGATATACACATAATTATTTATCCGATAAGGATTCACGTAATTAATTTGTTTTCAGGTAAATATGTCTGTTCAGCTGTACCTTAACCAAATAACAAGAATCACAAAGAAACACTTTTATAAAAAATATCACTTTATTCGACAATACATCATCCGGGGCCCTGACACTTGTGCCCTTTAAGCACTGTCCTTGTGACGAAACTTTTTGCGCACACGGTACAACTGTATGGCTTTTCGCCGGTGTGATAACGCATGTGTATCGTAAGGGTTCCCTTCTGGGTGAAACCGGTGCCGCACACCTGACACACGAACGGTTTTTCTTTCGTGTGAACCCTCTTGTGCGTCCTGAGCATGTTCTTCGTGGTAAAACTCTTGCCGCACACGTCGCACTGGAACGGCCTCTCGCCGGTGTGCGTGCGCATGTGGTGCCTCAGGCTCGCCATAGACGTAACGTTTTTACCGCAAATGTCGCAAATGTTGAGGTTCAGTTCTCCCCTGTGCGATTTCATGTGCACCTTGTACGACTTGATGTGCGTCAGAGTTTTGCAGCAAACCGAGCACGTGTAATGTTCTTTGACGAACCCCGGCTGATGGGAACGTCGGTGTTGTCGGAAATACTGTTCGTTCCTGAACGACCTCTTGCACACGTCGCAAAATAATCGCGCCCCTTGGTGCTTGAAGTCGTCATGTTTCTGGAGTTCGTACTTGAAATTGAAGCCCCTGTCACACTTCGAACACTGAAACTTGAACTTGTTCAAGTGAACGTTGTCGACGTGCCGGCCGAGCAGGTCCTCCTGCCAGAACTTCTTGTCGCAGTACTCGCAGATAAACTTGAACTCTTTGAAATGGACGTTCCTCACGTGATTTTGTAACATGTGGTTCAGCTGGAAGAGTTTGTCGCAAAATTCGCAGGCGAGGGTTTTGGCAGCGTGGATCCTCTTGTGGCGCTTGAATTTCTTCGCGGTCGGGTATTTCTTTTCGCATACGTCGCATACGAACTCTGATCTGGAACAGAAAACCGGGTCGTTAATTCTATTGCCACGACGCGACGGTCTCTCGAAACGGTAGGTTTCTATACTTACCGATGCCGCCGCAACCTACTACTTGTCATGGGAGAAATAAAAATTAAAGACACCGCCTGAGGGATAACATTTATTTCACGTTAACCAATAATATAGTAGTTACACAGTTTAATAAACTTCTAATAAAACAAAGCGTCCTCTCCAAAACGAACCTGGAAAGAAAGTAAATCCAAAAACCAGGGCACACCGTTTAAAACGGTCCGGGACAAACGTGCCTGTCCAGGTGACCGTGGCTACGAAACTCGGCCAGACAAACCCTACAAGACACCATCGAACGGGAGCCACCACCGCCTCCCGAATATTCCGCTGACGTGGAGGCTTTCAACGAAGCCGAAGGAGGGGTAGAGAACGATATAGGCGGAGGAGGCGGACAATCCAACAAAGACAGATAGTTTTCCTCGTCGTCGGAATTATCGTGGGTGTCGACGTGGTTGTTGTAGTCGCGGTAATTTGAAAACAATGTCGCGCACTTGGAACACCTGTACGCCGCGTCTTCCGGATTTAATCTGATTTTGGATTTCGGAGGACTTCGGTTACGATACAACGGAGAACGGCCACGGTTGTTTCGCCTTCTAAACGGGCTACTGCGCCGGTATCGGTCGCGCGCAGGACTTTTACTGCGCGACCTTCTCGAAGGACCCGGTTTCGTTATACTCTGCGCAGGTGTTGTCTGCTTGCCTGTATCCTCTTCCTGTTTCTTCTTGTTTTGCAAGTACAACAAATTGATTTTGAGCTGATTTTTAGTCGCCTCGAGTCGTCTCTTAAACGCCGGCGTTTTAATTACTTCCAATTCTTTCTTTTGTTCGTCCGTAACAGCGGTGCTCTTCGACGCCTGCTTCTTGGGATCCGGCGGCTGTTCGACCACAGGCACGACTTTGACCGGTTTCCGAACGCCCAGAAACAGGTGCGTCTTCTCGTGTATTTCCATCTCTTTCTTCGTGTCGAACACCTGCTGGCAAGAGTCGCACTTGTGTTTGACGGCCTCGGGGCCGACCGCCAGATTAAACTGGGTGAATAACTTCGAGTGCACGATGAACATGTGTTGTTTAAGCACCGCAACTTTTTCGAAGTTCAGCGAGCACACCGGACACACGTGCTTAGCGTTCGGTCGGTCCACTGTCTTCTGACAAAATATCAGGTGCACGTCCGATATCAGCTGGTTCGGGAACGTTTTCTGGCAGACGGCGCACGGGTGCGAATTAGCGTAGGATCGGAAAGCTTCGACGGGGGCGCAAGGGGTAGTAAAAGGTGCCCTATTAAATTGGCCGAAAGTATTTGGATAAAGGCTTGGTACCGTCATCGCCGGTTGTCTCATCAGGTAATTCATATTCCCGCCGAAGAAAGGATTAAACGACGGGCGCATTGAATTGAAAAAAGGGGAGGGACACGACTGAGGCGAAGACCACCGCAAGTGATCCGGAGGAGTAAACCTTAACGCAGGAGCAGGAGTCGGCGGCGATTCGACCCCTCTGGGGGGGTTGATCCAAACGGGAATGGGGCTCGATCCGGAAGGACGGGGGGATTCTTGCAGTTGCGGTCTGGAAGCGGTGGCAATCTGCGGTTGCTGCGGGCGACTCCTCATGTTTATCTCGTCTACGATCGCTTGCGCGCGGGCATTTAAGTCTTTGGGCGGTTCGAATCGAGATATCTTTCTCGTCTTGAAGGTTCCCGCCTCCCTAACATCGTCGATCTTGGATTTATTAGTCTCTTTTGGCGATAACGGAGGTTTGATGATGGTGGTAGCGGTAAGTTTCTTCCTTGGTATAGTGTAGGATTCGGTAAATTTCCTAATACTAGCATCCATCTTCTCCATGGAGACGTTAGGGGTCTTCGACTGATCCGTCCCTATCTTTTTGATCGATTTTTGATGATCCCTAGGGTCAGATTTTTTCGCTTTACCAGAAGAGCAGGGTTTGGGCCTCATAATCGCGGCTCTGTGCAGGGTGTCTGCGCTCGATTTAGTGGCCGATTCGGGCTTCGGTGGTTTAACGTCAGCTTCTTTAATGTGGTCCCTGTTTCCATCACGCGATTTCGAGTTGGACGCAACTGGTTTCTTTGATTTATCTCCAATCGACGATTTCGGAACGGGAGCTGCTTCGATTTTTTTGGGCATTATCTTTGGATTGAGTTTGGTTAATTTTACATATAGCCGTTTTAGGATCACCGCCGGTGCTGCCGGACAGGTGGGTTCCAAGTTTGAACCTTTCTGGTCGTCCATATCGAGGTATCGAACTCTAGGAGACTTCGAGAAAGACTTACTCTTGCGCTGTAATCGAGGCATTACTTTCGATATCGTGCAAACGTAAGTCCCGTTCCGTTTTGAGGTACGAACTGTAAACGACCTGCGCCCTTTCAAAGTTGACTTGAAATTGGTGGCGGAATCCATATTCTTCTTCGTAGACTTTCGAGAAACGTTGTGGCGTTTTACGTGCGCCACAAACTTTCGCCACTTCTTAGTACTCAGGGCGCACGAGACGCACTCGAAATTCATGATCGCGCCATGCGATAGCAAATGGCACACGAATCTACCGGCAAAGTATACCTTTTCCGAACAAATTCCGCAATGATACCGACTAGTTTTGAAACTGAGGTGTCTACTCGCGTGTCGTAGAAGGTCGTCGAGCGATGAGCATCGCCATGTGCACGCGCTGCATGCCAGGTAGCACGAGGAGTGAACCTCGCCCACGTGACTAGCTCTCTGAGATACGGTAGCGAAACTTTTGCCGCAAACCTCGCAATAACAAACCGACCCGAGGCAGGATGCAGCTGGGTCATCGTGGGTCGAGCTATGATCCGCGAGATCGGTTGCCTGGGCAAACGTTTTTACGCAAGATAAACACCCGAATAGGTGCTTTTTGTGGGCGGAACGTTTGTGGTTCCAGTATAATCTCGGATCGAAAAACCGCATCGAGCAGACTTCGCAATAATACTTAATGCCTTCTTCCAACTTCCCTACAGAGTTTACATCCACGTTACGTCTATCAGCTTGTTGGAAATTGAGTTTTATCAATTTCACCGTTAATATCTTTCTTCCAATTTCTTCTACGAAATCAGTATTCTGATCGCCGCTTCGGGCGATTTTGAAAGGTTCGTCAAGTCCCACGGATCCCGTGCTAGATATTTCGTCGATTTTAGCGACGTCTTCGTTCATGTCACGACTTTCAGCAGCTTCGTTTGAGTCTAAGAAGTCCCCCGAAACATCAAAATCATCAGTCACGTCGAGCAAATCGAACGACTGATTCTTAGTCATGGTATCCGATTCGGCATCGCATATCTGACACAACTCGTCCAACAAGGAATCCCAACCGGGCGATTCGATTAGTCCTTCTACTGAATTCGTATCGCCATTCGGCGACTGAGATAAAGTTGCTCCCGATGCTGAAACGTCAAATAAATTCGACTCGCGACCTCCAACAGCAGACGCCTGTGGACCGCCAATAGCTGCGGAATCCGTGGACACTGTAGTGGACCCACTGACTGACCTACAAAAACATCTACCTCAGTGTCCAACAGGTTAAATCGAACTTAACGCGTAAGCGTTGCAAAATCAAAGGACATTCTTATACATGGTTAACAATTCGAATATTATATCAGGTAACTATGAGTGGAGGATTGAATTTTTTACCCTGGAATTACGATCCGCAAAGTTGGGTAATGAATGCGAGTCATAACCCCCAAAGTTAGGGAACACTTGTTCCAAAGAGAGTCCCAAGTCGGATAAAGGATAAAGAAAATGCCAAATACGTGGCGAAAATAACTTTGCCTCTGATAGACAAATTTCTGAACTTATTTCACGTAAAACAAAACTTCAGAGAGATGAAATTTCCCTCTATTATCAATTTCAGGCACTTGTGTATAAAACTTACGTTTATCGCAATAGCAAAAAAAGACGAATGGAAAAAACGATTTATTTTACATAGTGTTTAAGAAAACCATCCATATTGTATCCAAAGGAGACGCGACTAACCGTATCAATTCAGAATTATAGTGATAACACAACAATGGTGTGACGCTGTTTAGTTGATGTACTAAACAAAAACGTTGGTTGGAACCATTTTTAACCACCAAAAGACATAAGTTTTATTGTGACGGAATTATACCTTTGCACCTGTTGCTCAATAACTAGTAGTAGTACCAAAGTAATTGGAACCACCAGTACACTAAGCATGTTCTCGGCGTGTAGTTCTGCCTTTCTTTTTGGGAATAGCACTCCGTTTATTCTTGTGGCTTTTGGCATGGGCCGCGAGCGCCTGAGTACTTCCGAAGTACTTGCCGCACTCTCCGCACACTATTTCCTCCGGATCTTGGCGTATTACGTAACCATGAACCCCGTGGACTTTCATATGACCCGACAACTTCTTCTCGTTCAATTGAACATGGCATATCGCGCATACCACCTTAGAGGGATGTTTAAACGGGCATGTGAACTGATGCTTTCTCGTTTTGTCTTCGCTACTAAATCTCTCCGAGCAATACTTGCAGGCTTTCCGTGGGATGGCGGCCAGCTGCTTCGGAGTGCTCAACGCGTGACGATGTGACTGGAGGTGATCTCGGTAAAGATTCATGTCGCCGACGATAATTTCGGGACACATCGAACACCGATAAGGCATATTTGTTAGTTTCATCGAGTGGTGTCGAATCATGTGCTTGTTGTATGCCGATACCGTAGTAAATTCCATCTTATTGCAGTTTTGGCAGTATAGCTTTATGTTGGCGTCGACGGTATGAATTCGGAAATGATGGTACATTAAAGATAGTTTTCTGAGAGATGTATCGCATAAATCGCAGCCGATTTTTTCCGAACGGTGGACCTGGGAGTGTTTGAACAAGTCGTGGAGGGTGGAAAAAACTTGGCCGCATTTAACGCAGTACTTCTCCGGAGTGGGTTGATTCGCAGCGTACTTGAATTCGGCATCCTTGCCTTCTTGGCATGAGTGGATACGGTTATAGTGATTTTTTAGGTCGGTACTAAACTTTCCGACCTTTTGGTGGCATATTCGACAAATAAAATTGTGCGAATCGGAACTGTAGAAGATGTGGCGATGGTAACCAGAAAAACTGTTAAACTCCTCCCCGCATCTTTCACAAAATAACTTCGGACGAAATTGGTTCTTCTCCGTATGACGTTTTGACGCCAACCTAAAACCATATTTCAACTTATTTATGTTACCGTCGCAGCGAATTTATGAAAAAAAGAATCAGTTTCGTTTTAAAGAAAATTATGGATAAATTTAAAAAAAAACAATAACAAAATCAATGTATTTGCGAAATAAACAAGTACAGATTATATTGTTGGTTAGCCGTACTTATAAATTTGGTTAAAAGTTTTACTTTTTTTGTGTTGTATACAAACCGTTTAACTGACCCGATTGTAACTTAAGCGGCCTTTACAATTTGGAACGCGAAAATATTATTGTCGATATTATGTGGTTTACTAGGTACTCTTATTCATGAACACCGACCACAGACGACAGCAAAAAAACAAGTGTCTATTTATATATTTTGTTTTATTAACCGCATAAAGTACACTTAACGCTGTCAGGTGCTGAGAAAAATAAATTCCTGATTATAAAATCAAACGACTCTAACCATGTCAAAGAAAAAGGTGATTCTAGGAAGAATAGCTGTACTAAAACAGACAAACGGAACATTATTTATTTAAAACATCGCCGCTACAACACTTCGCCGGGGTGAATTTTCGAAAAGTGAGTCCTGAGAGTACCCCTCTGGGTGAACCTCTTGTCGCACATCCGACACCCGTACTTTTTTTCCTTCGTGTGCACCACCATGTGTATGTTCAACTGTTTCCGAGTACTGAACGTTTTGTGGCAGAACCCGCAAGAGAATGGTTTCTCCCCCGTGTGCGTACGCCGATGATCTTGTAAACTCGACTTGCTGGACACTACCTTGTCGCACTCTGCGCACTTGTACACCATCCTACCGTTCTTGTGTTCCCTCAGGTGTCTTTTGAACGATACCGGGTGAATAAACGTTTTTGGGCAGTACTCGCAGACGAACTGTCTGTCCGATTCGTGCACCAGCACGTGTCTGCGCAAAGCGTCCTTCGTCTTGAAACTCTTGAGGCAGCCGATGACCGTGCACGCGATAGGATCACTGACGGGATGGTTCACCCCTTCATGTTGGTGCAGGTAGCTCAACAGCGGAAACCCTTTGCCGCATTTTTCACAAAAGTAGTTGACTTTCCTCTCGTGTATGAGAAACTTGTGCTGTTTCGCACTGTACTTGCTCGCAAATATCTTCCCACATTCGTCGCACGGGTGCGGCTTACACTTGGGCACGGTTTTTTTGTGCACCTTGCGTTCGTGAAAGCGACGCCGGCAATCCATGAAAAAACCCTTGCCGCAGAAGCTGCAGAAAAAACGAAACTCGTGGGTGTGCACGATCACCACGTGCTCCTTGAGGAAGATTTTGCTCGAGAAGGTACCGTCACATCTCGAGCACGCGTACTTGCCTTTGCCGCACCTAAAACGACGCGGTTTGAGTTTTGGGGGTAGGGGGGCGGCCGAAGAGAAATGTTTGTTTATTTAATAACCCTGCATCAAAGCCCGAGCATGGGACGCCACTGCTTTATACTGTAGGGAAAAATTATGAATCGCGAAGAAGCAAAGACACTTTAGTTTTATTTATTTTATTTAAGATTCGTTTGCAACAGACTCGATATTCACGATATACAAATAACGAAATTTGTATTTTCTAATATACAGGGTGTCCCAAGGAAGCGTGCCGTTTTAAATTGTAAAAAAAATATTTCCTACATTTATTTGGAAATTGAATAAAAACAGTACAGCTATTTTCTCTGCCCTATCTAATGGTAGAATTCAAATTCAAAAAGTCAATCACAACTTCTCGTCAGGGTGTTTTTTGAAAAAGTGCGCCTTCATGGATCCCCTCTGGGTGAAAGCCTTGCCGCAGCATCTGCAAACGTGGCGCTTCTCCTTGGTGTGGACCACCACGTGAACCTTGAGCAGCTTTTTACTCACGAAACACTTGTCACAGTGCTCGCACTCGAAAGGCTTCTCTCCCGTATGCGTCCTGATATGACACGTCAAACTAACTTTCGACGCTACCACCTTCTCGCATATGGGGCACTTGAAGGTGTCTTTAACATCTGCGTGGAAAGTCCGAACGTGATGCCGCAACGAGTAAGGGTGACGGAACACTTTTACGCACTGCTGACATGGAAATTCCTTGCGCACGATTTCGTGGGCCATCATGTGGTACTTCAAATAGTGTTGGCTCTTGAACAGCTTATCGCAACACGGGCACGGTATCGAAGGTTCCTTTTTCTCGTGTACGGACGCGATGTGACTGTTCAACTGGCTAGCATTGACGAACCCTTTAGCACACTTGTCGCAAAACACGGTGTAGTCCTTGGAATGTATCATCCTTCGGTGGAGGTTGGCGCTCACCTTGGTAGCGAACATTTTCCCGCAAATCTCGCAGGGATGCCGAGTGGTCTTTTGGTGCACGCTCTGCACGTGCATTTTCACTTGCACCGGTCGCTGAAACATTTTGCCGCAGTGCGTGCAAGGATGCTTCTTCTCTTTGTGCAAGCGCATGTGCATCGACGGGTGACGACTGCTGATCGTTTTGTCGCATATTTTGCACTTCATGTAGAGCGGCAGGTCCTCCTTCGGACCCTTGCAGACACGCGAATGATTCAGCAGCGTCTGCTTAGTGGCGCACAAGCGGCCACACTTGTCGCACTGGAACCTGGTCTCGCTAAAACCATTTGAGAAGTATATCTTTTTTTAAGAATGGTCTCACGCACGCAAGATGAAGTGTCCATCATTTTTAAAAGGTCTCCAAATGATTCCGCCCGATATTGATAAAGTACCGGAGCAGAAAGTAGAATGTATTATTGCGATCTTTTTTAAAATCGAAGTGGCTGAGCTTTCAGCGGAACAGGTGATTTTGTCGACCCAACATTAGAAATCTGGTGTCATCATTGTTCGTGGAAACTTGGAAAATGGATACTTCATCTCGCCGGGTCGTAAACTTACACTTTTTCTTTGGTCGGGTGGTGTTCCTTCGCGTGCCTCGTAAAATCGACCTCCTGCTTAAATTCTTTTCCGCACTGGTACCCGTGATGGGTGGCCCAGTGATGTGCCAACCGGTCTTTCAAGAAAAACCTCTTTTTACAAACCTCGCAACGGTGCCGGTAGTCGGTGGTATGCGCAGTAGCAAAGTGATTTTCGCAGTTTCGTTTGTCGATGAATATTTCATCACAATGTTCGCATCGGAAAATTTTATTCGAGGCCGCCCTGAAACAAACGGGTTCCTTAAGGTGCGTTTAAGGACCGCTCGTGGTGTGACTAACCGAAAATTTTGGTTAAAATTAACCACGACGCGCTGGATAATTAATTAATGGTGGCGAGTCGCCACAACTCAGGCAGTAATAGCTGTTCCAGACGTCTGGAAAGTATTCCCAGCCCAAGACAAAATGCTGAAAACATTTAAGTACCCACGTCCAATAATTCAGTGTTTTTACCGAACGAAATTTGACTCGATGACTCTTTTGCAAAAGAAACTTTGGTAATTAAATTAATAAAGACGCACTTGGAGTGACAGCGATTAATATAGCGGTAAACGCGAGTGTCAACAACCAACGTCTTTCCGAAAATTAAAAAAAAAAGCTTTATAAAATGAAATATAATTACAAAAAAGTACTACAACGTCTCGTCAGGGTGCTTTTTCAAAAAGTGCGCCTTCAAGGACCCCCTCTGAGTGAAAGCTTGCCCGCAGCATCTGCAAACGTGGCGCTTCTCCTTGGTGTGGACCACCACGTGAACTTTGAGCAGCTTCTTGCTCCCGAAACACTTGTCGCAGTACTCGCACTCGAAAGGCTTCTCTCCCGTATGGGTCCTAATGTGATACGTCAGGCTATCCTTCGACATCACAATCTTCTCGCATATGTGGCACTTGAAAGTGTCCTTAATATCTGCATGCAAAGTCCTGACGTGGTGCCTCAACGAGTAAGGGTGACGGAACACTTTTGCGCACTGCTGACACGGAAATTCCTGGCGTACTACCTCGTGGGTCATCATCATATGGTACTTCAAGTAGTGTTGGCTCTTGAACTTCTTATCGCAGCACGGGCACGGTATAGAAGGTTCCTTTTTCTCGTGTACGGACGCGATGTGACTGTTCAACTGGCTAGTGTTGACGAATCCTTTGGCACACTTGTCGCAAAACGCCGTGTACTCCTTAGAGTGTATCATCCTCCGATGAAGATTGGCGCTCACCTTGGTAGAGAACATCTTCCCACAAATCTCGCAGGGATACCGCGTGGTCTTTTGGTGCACTGTCTGTACGTGCATTTTCACTTGCACCGGTCGCTGAAACATTTTGCCGCAGAGCGTGCAAGGATGCTTTTTCTCTTTGTGCAAGCGCATATGCATCGACGGGTAACGACTGCTGATCGTTTTGTCGCATATTTTGCACTTCGTGTTGAGCGGTAGGTCCCCTTTGGGACCCTTGCAGATACGCAAATGATTTAGCAGCGTATGCTTGGTGGCGCACAAGCGGCCACACTTGTCGCACTGGAACCTGGCTCTGCTAAAACCACTTGCTAAGTCTATCTTTTTGTGAGGAGGGTCGCACGCACGCAAGATGAAGTGTCCATCATCTTTAAAAGGGACTCCAAATAATTCCGCCTGGTAGGAATAAAGTACCGAAGCAACAGGTAGGATACATTAATTTAGGTAGTTTAAAATTAGACTCTCGAATTATGAAGTTGCTGAGCTTTGGGCCATTTGGAGAACTTGTTACAATATAAATATGGCCAGCTAAAGGACTTAAGCAGTGGTGCCGACAGCGAGGAACAGGTGATTTTGTCAACCCTACATTAGAAATCTGGCGCCGTCATTGCTCGTGGAAACTTGGAAAATGGATACTTCATCTCGCCGGGTCGTATACTTACACTTTTTCTTTGGTCGGGGGGTGTTCCTTCGCGTGAGTAGAAAAATCAGCCTCCTGCTTGAATTCTTTTCCGCACATCAGACACTGGTACCCGTGGTGGGTGGCCCAATGGTGTGCCAACTGGTCTTTCAAGAAAAACCCCTTTTTGCAAACCTCGCAACGATACCGATAATCGGTGTCACGCGCAGTAGCAAAGTGACTTTCGCAGTTTGGTTTGTTGGTGAATAATTCGTCAAGATCTTCGCAACCGAAAATTTTATTGGAAACCATCCTGAAACAAGCGAGTTCCCTAAGGTGCTCCTGGTGCGACTAACCAACAATTTAGGTTAATATTAACCATCTGGAAGCTTTCTTATATAGTTGAGGAGAGGGTAGTATTAAGTCGAAAGCACAAACTTTTATTCCAAAACATCCAAGGGTTGATTCAGTGTTTATACCGAACGAAACTTGAACAACTGACTCACGTTTTGATAATTACATTAACAAACACGCACTTGGAGGGGGACAGCGATTCATCTAACAGGAAAGGAGCGTGTTAAAAACGAAAATTAAAAAAAAAAGCTTTTCCAAAAGTAATATAATTACAAAAAAGATGCTTTTTCAAAAAGTGCGTCTTCAAGGAGCTCCTCTGAGTGAAAGCTTTGCTGCAGCATCTGCAGACGTGGCGCTTCTCCTTGGTGTGGACAACCACGTGAATCTTAAGCAGCTTTTTACTCACGAAACACTTGTCGCAGTACGCACACTTGAAAGGCTTCTCCCCCGTATGCGTCCTAATGTGACACGTCAGGCTATTCTTCGACGTCACAATCTTCTCGCATATATGACATTTGAACGGAACCTTGAACCGGCGTGCAAGATTCTTATGTGGTTTCGCAACGAGATAGAACAATGAAACACTTTTGCGCACTGTTGACACGGAAATTGCTTACGCTCGTGATCGTGTACAATCATGTGGTAGTTTAGGTACTGTTTATTTTTGACCAGCTTCCCACAACACGGGCAAGGGACAGAAGACTCGACCCCCTTCTTCTCGTCCACGGAAGAGATGTGGTTATCCAACTGACTAGCGGTAACGAACACTTTGGCGCACTTGCAGCAAAACACGGTGTGTTCCCTGGAACGTATCATCTTGCGATGAAGGTTGGCGCTCATCTCGGTAGCAAATATTTTGCCGCAAATCTCGCGTGGTCTTTTGGTGCACGCTCTGCACGTGCATCTTTACTTGGGCCGGTTGCTAGAATTTTTTGCCGCAGTGAGTGCACGGGTGCTTCTTCTCATTGTGGAGGCGCATGTGAGATGACGGACAAGGACTACTTATGGTTTTCTCACATATTTTGCACTTCATGTAGGAGTCTTTGAAACCCTTGCAAAGTCGCGAGTGGTTGACGAGAGTCTGTTGGGTCGGATAGCTTCGTTGGCACTTGGTGCACTGGAACTTCGTCTCGCTGAAAAATTAATGGTTGTCAGCTTCCGACGAAAATAAAGTATCCATTCAAAAATCAAGCACCAGGAAGTTAAGTTAAGTAAGTTGCAAGTGTCAAACTTACCTTACTTCGGTATTTCTTTAAATATTTTTACTCGTACAAAAAGAGCTTGGGGAGAATTTTGGCACAATATATGAAGTGTTTATCTATAGATAAAGCTACCATGGAATGTGGATATTGATTCGCATCTAAAATCAAAATCGCTCTATTTTACTTCATAAAATTGCTGGTGGCTAAAAAGTAATTTGAAATTTTCTACAAAAAAATAATGCAAAATAAATGCTATATTCTGCGGTACTCTTTTTGATTCTAACTGAAGTAACTAAACATTATCTAGTTCTCTATCTAGTAATTGAAGTTTACTGTAAATAATAATAAATTAATTGATTAATACATACGAAATTAATTTTTACAGTTCTATATATTTTTGTATAAAACTGAAAGCGGAAAAGATTGCTTTTCAAATAAAATACAAACTTTTCCAAAATGTGTTATAATTAAAAACTAAAAAATACTAAAAATTAAACCGATTTTGGTGAAAAATACAAAAACATATTTTTTTTTAACTCTTTACCGCACGTTTCGCACTGATGCGAGAGGTGAACGGCTCCATGACGTGCCAAGCGATCTTTCAAGAAAAATTCCAGGTCGCAAAGCTCGCAACGATACCGGTAATCAGCGGCGTGCGCAGACAATTTCGCTTATTCGTGAATATTTTGTCGCACTCTGCGCAACGGTACGTTTTATTCGAAACCGTCCTGAAACAAGCGAGTTTTTATTAAGATGGTCCGCAACTTGACCGAGAGTATTCAACCATAAGGGAAAATTAACTACGACATACTCGGAACTCCTTGCCCAAGGCCAAATGCTAGAAAAGATTCCTTAAGGTCCTGTGCACGCCATCAGTAATTGTTATGGTCGTATAAAAAAACTATGATTTTCAGACTACTGAAATGCTATCACTTTTCGCATTTTTGGGTTCATTTCTGCCGAGCTTTAACATAAAGCGGGGCAAACGTCTTGGCCCCTTTAATGTCACCATTACGCAGTGAAAAAATTAAAAAAGAATATGAATGAATTGAACAGGTTTTTATTTTATCCGTGGTATTGCTATTACCTCTAATTTAACAGTAGATAATAATATCATAAATATCCGCAAAAAAGTACCAGCTTACCTACACAATATGTCCCAGAACAAAATATATTGCATACAAACTTAAAAAAAAAAACAATATAAAATAAAAGTAACAATTAGAAATTAATTTGTTTCTAAGCAGCGCGACCCGACTTTTAGTTCACAATCTGTAACTGCTCGGCCTGTACATTTATCAAAAAGTTTCAAATAAAAGTAACAAATGAGTTTAGATGCCAACATCAAAGTGGTCTGAAGGTCAATTTTGCCGTTGTGTGATTTACCTTAAAAACTGGGCAACTTTGTTTTTATTGGGCTAAAACTTTGAAAAACGAAGGTGTATGATTTTTTCTTCATTGCCGTCTAAACATATCGATAACAGTGTTTGATCATCGCAAACATAAAACATATTAATAACTTCACTTTTTTAAATAGAACTCTATGTAAATTTTGACTCGGGATGAAAGTCTATATATTTTCCAAATCGGGTTAACAAGGACTTTTTTATCTTTATCTTTATGGAGGGTGTTTAAAGAAAGTAAGTTTATTTCATTTACGGGGCAACTTTGTTTTTATTGGTACGTTCAGAAGATAATAATAAATATAAAAATTTAAAAAATTTCAAAGAAACTTCCACAGGCTGCTGTAATTCTTTTTACAAAACTTCTGGATTCCCCCTGCGTCGGTTTTTACTTAGTCGAAATTGCTGACTGTTTCAGTCAAGCTCTGAAGAAGGCAACAGGATGATTGGCGAAACGTCGTCGGAAATTTCGACTAAGCAAAAACCGACGCACGAGGAATCCAGAAGTTTTGTAAAAAAAAAATACAATTAAAAATACCCATACAAATCTATGTAAAAACTTTTTGCCTATACGGTCAGCTTTCGAAATATGTTAAAAATATTAGTTAAAAAAAAAATGCTCGGCCGTTTACTTTCGTAAAAAAACAGTACAATTGGTCTATTGATCGTTAAAATTTCTCATCGGGATGCGCTTTCAAGAAATGTTTCTTCATCGGTCCGTGTTGGGTAAAGCTGGCACCGCACACTTTGCACGCGAAAGGCCTCTCTTTGGTGTGCACCACCCTGTGCGTCACCAGATTCTTCCTCAAGCGAAACCTGCGTCCACAGTGTTCGCACACGTAGGGCATGTCGCCCGTGTGGATCAGCATGTGATGTCTCAAGCTTTGAGCGCTGTTCACCGTCTTGTTGCACACCTCACAAGGGTACACCTTTTTGTCTTTGTGGTCTTTGAGGTGGCGCTTGAACGAGATCGGGTGGGTAAACACCTTCGAGCACTCCTTGCAAGAGTACTCGGCCTTGGGACCTTCGTGTCTCTTCAGGTGATCTTTGAGATAATAGTTCGACGTGAACACTTTTTTGCAGCCCTTTGCCGTACACGCGAACAACTGGCGGGCTTCTTCGTGGATTCTCTGCACGTGATGGTGCAACGCGCCTTCGTAGAGGAACCCACGCTCGCACACCTCGCACTTGAACTTGTACTTCCTGCGATGGGCAGAACTTAGATGACCGTAGATTTGCGCGAACATTTTTCCGCAATATTCGCACTGGTGCAACCTCTTGTGATCTTCGCGGACATGTTCCTTGTATTTGCGCACGTCGACAAAGGTCATGCCGCACTCCTTGCACGTCCTGTTTGTCAGCTGCATGGTGGCATCACGAATCGAATAGTAGTCATTCTCGCCGTCGGGGACGATCCCGTGCTCGCGCATGTGCCACAACAACTGATCGTAAGAGTGGAATTCGTTCGTGCACAGTTCGCAGGGATACGGGTGCGCATCCGGGTGCTCGAGCTTAAAATGTCTTTCGTAATTTTTCCTTTTAACGAAAGGTCTCCAGCAGATGCGGCACAAGAAGTTTTTCGGCCTGCAACCGACAAAACAGGTTAATCAAGAGCAAGAGAAGAAAAAAAAACTTACCTGGGCGACTGGATATTGATGACCCTGATCGACGCTGGCGGCGCAAAAGGATGGGTGCCGTCGAAGTTTTCTGAGGGATCGGAATTCTTGTAATAAACTCTGCATTCGAAACATTGACAGTATGCGTTGCCGATGCACACTCTAAAATGTAAAATCGTTAAAAAATGAGTAGCGCCACTAAGCGCATGTTAAGGAAATCACGATAAAGGTTCACATATCGATGATATTTTTTGCGGAATGCAATAGAAAAAGAAAAAGGAACGGAAGATTAGGCACGAGCGAAGTGGACACTTGTCACACGTCACTTATAAGTGTATTCACATTGTCTGCAAAAACACAGCCAAAAACTAATAGTTGCCATGCTGCGGTCCTCTTGTACCAAACAAAACTCGTGACTAAAATGGCGTTTACCAAAACAGTGACACCGCGTCCAAAATAATCCTGATGAAATGATCAGATATTACCAACGAGACGAAACCTTAAAAAATCATTACCAAGAATACGGCATAAAGAGTTTTCATGAATTAAAAAGTAATAATAATGCCATTTTAATTAGATAACACCATTTCTAAACAATCTTATTTTGTAACCAGAATTCATTGAGGAGTTAAAAACATTTTTTTCCAAAATTTTAGTTTATGTAATAGACTGATTTTAATATGAACTATTAAATGATTAAATTTTATTATAAAAAAAATCCATTAATGTTTTCTTTCATTAGTTTTGGTTAGCACTCTCTTTGAACGCTATAAGACCGGAAATTTAAAAACACTAATAGCTTTTAACGATTTGGTTCATCAGGATGACCATAACTTTACAGCAGACTAATTGTATAATATAATAAGGACTATATGGAAAATCAGATTCCACAATTTATTAGGCTATTATACTCATTTCATAATTAACTCGCTTTTGAACAGTAAATTTAATTATATAATAACAATCAAGATTTAAAAACAACAAATATATTTAAATTAGATAGTTACTACCAGTAAGAACAAATATTCAGGACTGCTAGAAAACGCAGAGAATGTTAGCAGTAAGACGATCAGACCTTTGTGTGCCTTGGAGCCGCCAGAGCACTAGATAAGCACTCCAGCGCTACCAGATTGCGAAGAAAGGTTTAAATATTAAAAAAAAACGAGGCTTATTGAAAAATCGATGCTTTATTCGAACTAAGCTATCAGTCACAGTTTGGTGCGGGTATCTACAACTTCTGGTCTGGATGTGCCTTCAAGAAATGCCTCTTCATCGACCCGCGTTGAGTAAAACTAACGCCGCACACATTACACGGGAAAGGCCTTTCTTTAGTGTGCACCACACTGTGCGTCATCAGATTCTTCCTCAAGCGAAACCTACGTCCACAGTGTTCACAGACGAACGGCATATCGCCCGAGTGGATCAGCATGTGTTCCCTCAAGCTTTTTAAGCTGCACACCTTCTTGTCGCACACGTCGCAAGGGACAACCCTTTTGTTGAGTTTGTCTCTATGATCTTTCAGGTGCCGCTTGAACGACGAAGGGTGGTTAAACATCTTCGGGCATTGCTCGCAAGAGTACTCGACACCTTCGTGTTTCTTATGATGGTCCTTGAGGGACTGATTCGAGGTGAACACTTTGCCGCAGTGTTTTTCGGCACACGCACATACCTGTCGGGCTTGTTCGTGCACACTCTGCACGTGATGGTGCAACGCGCCCTCGTAGAGAAAACCTCGGTCGCACAACTCGCACTCGAACTTGTATGTTCTGCGATGAGCGGCGCTTAAGTGTCCGTAGATCTGCGCGAACATTTTGCCGCAATACTCGCACTGATGCAGCCCCTTGTGATCGTCGCGCACATGATTCTTGTAGCTGCGCACATCGGAAAAGACTTTGCCGCACTCCCTGCAGGTCCTACTCGCCAGCTCGAGGGCGGGGTCGTTCATCGAGTAATAGTCGTCTAGATCTTCGAGTTGGCGACCGGATTTACCGTCACGTGTGATCGCAACGTGTCTTTTAAGGTTACGCTCACTGAACAAAGGAGAAAGTATTTTTTGCCTACAACCGAAAACGAGGGTTATTTACTCCGAGGAGCAGGGAAAGGACTGACTCGGCGTCCTCGATGATCCCGACGGATGTTTTCGCAACGAAGGGATGGATGTCCTGTTTGTTCGGCACGCCGCTGTTGTAATAAGCTCGGCACTCAAAACATCGACAGTGTGCGTTTCCGACGCAGACTCTAAAACGTTAAGTCGTTAAAAGTGGTCGGTCGAAAATGTTGCATCCTTTTCTTTGAAATGTGTGATTTTCAAAATACAAATGTTTAACATAAAAAAAGCTATTATTATATTAAGTACCCCCGTCATGAGGTCTAATGTCATGCGGGAGGTTCGTTACTGAATGCAATATACACAAAAATGTTGATATTATTTTTGGATTTTGCTAAGAGTGGGAGTTTTTGGCCTTCAATAATTATCGTTTTTAATGTAGTAGTGTAGGTAGTGTCACTCTGTAGCAGAACCACAAATTAAAGAATGTAGAAGTGTACAATTATGTCTAGGTTAGACCCTTGAGACCACGTTACCTCTACATCGAGAAATGATAGAGATGTTCTGACCTCGACTATGAAGAAAAATCCAAATATGTAAACTTTACTCAAAATTTTCTATAATTGCCTGTTTTCTAAAATTACAGATTGTTTTGTATATGTATATTTTCTGACGGAGACTTATTTATACTATTTTTTAGGGTAATTCTGCCAGTTAAAATGCAATCAGTTTTCGAAATACCATGAAAGACACATACATTTTGTACGAATAATATAAAAACTCACGAAAACATAAATCTCACTAACCTGCCAAAATGTCAACGATACTTGATGCCTTTCCTAGTTTGGTTGATTGATGATCAATTTTTCACTATTATAGTGAAATAATTTTTTTAAAATATATTTCACATTTTTATCTAAATTTGAGATGAAATTCGTCATTTTAAATTTAAAATACGTCGTCGACCAATGCTAATAGTAACACTAAAAGAAAGGAGCTACAGAAGACTGTTTAGCAGAAAACAAAAGAAAATAAAGTGCAAGTTATTTATTATATTTTGAAGAATGCATAAAATATCTAGAAACGCGGAAAGAAATCCCACCCTTTCGACCGTAGAATGGGCTCGATGTAATAAGGGTGTACACTTCTTGTTTATCCTTCCGGCAAAACCTGATTTCAGACCAAATAGTTTTTCCTAGGAGAAATCAATTTAGGAAAAACTAAGCAGCAATATGATGACAGGTTTGGTTAACTTTGGTCAGTTTTTGTTCCTTCCCAGTTAGTTAGCTTGGATTAAAATCAAGTTTAGCCCGTAACATCTACACAATTCCGTAAAAGTTATTGAACAAAAAGAAAACGTCACTTATTTGAAAAACCACTTTATCTTCAAAGTGTGTGCACCAACTTAACAAGCACGTCTACAACTTGTCGTCCGGATGTGCCTTTAAGAAATGTCTCTTCATCGGTCCGCGTTGAGTAAAACTCAGACCGCACACCTTACAAGGAAAAGGCCTCTCCTTAGTGTGGGTCACCATGTGCGTCACCAGATTCCTCTTGACGCGAAACCTACGTCCACAATGTTCGCAAACGAATGGCAAACCACCCGAATGGATCAGCATGTGATCCCTCAAGCTGCGCAAGCTGTTCACCTTCTTATCGCACAAGTTGCAAGAAAAAATCTTCTTGTCAGGTTTGGCTTTATGAGTTCTGAGGTGAATCCTGAACGACACCGGATGACAAAACACTTTCTGGCACTGCTCGCAAGAATACTCGACGCCTTCGTGCTTTTGGCGGTGGTCTTTGAGGGACCGGTTCGACGTGAACAATTTGCCACAGTTTTTTTCCGCGCACGCAAACACCTGTCGGCTCTTCTCGTGCACGGTCTGCACGTGATAGTTGAAGCCGCTCTCGTAGAGAAAGCCACGGTCGCACAATTTGCACTTGAACTTGTAATTCTTGTGGTGGACCGTGGCTAGATGTATCTGGAGGTGGGTGAACATTTTTCCGCAAAACTCACACTGCTCTTGGGTCTTGTGTTCGTTGCGCACATGTCTTTCGTATTTGCGCACATCGGGAAAAATCCTATCGCACTCCTTGCAAGTCCTGTTGACAAGTTCAAGGACCGGGTCACAGGACGATTCCTCGTCGAAACCCAACGCGAAGGGTTTGACGTCGGGCGCGGTTGCCAAGCGACTTTTTTTATACATTTCTATGTATTTCTCCCTACAACCGACAAAGGGGGTTAATTGTCCCCAAAGACTGGGTAAAAGAACTGACTTGGCATCCTCGATGATCCTGATGGACGTTTTTGGGAGGAAGAAATGGGCGCCGTGGTGGTCGTTCGGCACGCCACTGTTGTAATAAACTCGGCATTCGAAACATGGACAGTGGGCGTTTCCGACGCAAACTCTAAAACGTAAGGTCATTAAAAAAGTATTTGATGGTTCCCTTAAATCAAAGGGATGAAGTTAAGAACTTTTTTGTGTGTTGCTTCCTTTTCAAACTAAGAAAATTTAAAGCTTAAAAAGTTTTCATTATTGTCTCTACCAGTTACCTGAATTTTAATGAATATTCCTGGGGTTACTTGTACTGATGGACTAATTAAATTCACGATGACAAATTCAGGGATGTGAGAGAGGTTTCCTACCAGATGTAATTCATAAAGAAATGTAAACCAATGACTTTTTTTATTTCGTATATTCGCAAATTTTAATTTGAATGGATATCGAATAAGAATATCTGCTAGGTCCTACACTAACAATAGTTAAAAACAAACACCAATAAAAACTTGTATCTAGCATTAAAAGAAAAGAGTTTTCCCAAAACACCTGTAAAGTACGTCTCAAAGTATATCATCGTGGCTTTTCTGGGACTCTCCCCCAAAAAGTACTTACGACTTTCTTATGTATTGGTCCTGGGTAAACGCAACTACCAATAATTTATTTATAGACAAAGGCACGACATGGGCGAATCAGGTAGATGTTGACCATGTGAGGTAGAATAGCTATGACATATTAGCGAAAACTGGTCAGATCCTTGGTAGACGCGAAAAAAATGTTAATCACCATTGTGAGAGGAGTGAGGTTTGAGGGAGAAGAGGGTGGGTTGAGCGAAGGGGTAGGGAGGTCGTGAAGGGGGCGGAAAGTGAGGGATGTGAATGACCTTGAAATGAACCAGTTTTCGCTAATATGAACCTTAAATTGTCTTATAAAAATGACGAAATTTATTCTCGAACTGTAAGCTATTATTTAAAAGAAACTTGCCTATTTACAAAAACTAGTGATCAGATGGGAAATACCGTTTTACGTCTTCCTCCATATCATTGTTCAACCACATAGTACACTTGTGGCACCAAATTAAATCAAGTACAGAAAATAGGAGGAAAAGAAAAAAGCAAAAAAGAAAGAAGAAAAAAACCTGACAGCATTTACATAATGACAGGTTGATTAGTACAAAAGCACAAATTTTTAATTTTTGTTTCGTAACAGGGTTTTAATCTTTCACGGTGTAGAGATTAATAAACACGCTTAAAAAAGCAATACTGTCGCTATATTCCAGCAATAGAGAACTCGAGATGTAAATTCAGACCTGCCTGTATGTATATGGATATTTTCGAAGTTATATAAAAAAAGATAAGTGAAAAATTAGGCACCTCTCGGCTAAAGGATTCCGAAGGACTCTACAGAAAAAAATATAGGTTTTTAGTTTTTTTTTAAATCACTTTATTCGCATTTCCAAAAAAAACCATTGGCATTTACTGCGCATAAAATCGACATCTACAACTTTTCGTCAGGGTGGGCCTTCAAAAAGTGCCTCTTCATCGGCCCGCGTTGAGTAAAACTAAGACCGCACACTTTACAAGGGAAAGGTCTCTCTTTCGTGTGCGTCACCATGTGCGTCACCAGATTCTTCTTGACGCGAAACCGACGTCCGCAATTTTCGCACACGAAAGGCATATCGCCCGAGTGAATCAGCATGTGATCTCTTAAACTATGCAAGGTGCTGACCTTCTTCTCGCACACGTCGCAGGGGAACACCTTTTTGTCGCTTTTATGATTTTTGAGGTGGCGCTTGAACGACGAAGGGTGGTTAAACACCTTCGGGCATTGCTCGCAACGGTACTGAACGCCTTCATGTTTTTTCCGGTGGTCTTTGAGCGACTGGTTGGACATGAACCATCTGCCGCAATCTTTTTCCGAGCACGCGAACACTTGTCGGTCCTTCTCGTGCACAGTCTGCACGTGAAAGTTGAAGCCGCTCTCGTAGAGGAAACCGCGATGGCACAACTCGCACTTGAACTTGTACTTCCTGTGATGAACCGTCCTTAGATGCACATGGAGATGGGTGAACATTTTGCCGCAAAACTCGCACTGATCCTGCGTCTTGTGCTCGTTGCGCACGTGACTCTTGTAACTGCGCACGTTGGGAAATACTTTGGAGCACTCTCGGCACGTCCGGTTTGCGAGATCGCGGACAGGATCATTAAGCAAATAATAGTCCTCGGGATCGTCGCGTACGAGATCAGGTTTGGCGTCGTTGTGCGCAACGATCACGTGACTTTCGAGGCACGACCTGTTGACGAAATGTTTCGCACACATGGGACACCCGAATTTTTTCTCCCTGCAACAGAGGCGGGTAATTGCGTGGGCTTGGGGGAATAAAGTAAGGACTGACTTGGCGTCCTCGATGACCCTGATGCACGCCCTAGGTACGAACTCGTGGGCGTCGTGTTGGGGTTCGTTGGGTTCCACGCTCTTATAATAAACTTTGCATTCGAAACATCGACAGTGCGCGTTTCCGACGCAAATCCTAAAACGTAAAGTTGTTTTAGACTACAGTAAGACGTGACGTAAACGAGAGAAATCCGTGTATTTGTCTACTATGAATACAGTACAGTGGAAACCAGGTTCCTGCAATGCAGTCCCTAAAACTAATGCTACATTTCCAAAGAACGAGACTCCTGACACCTTATGCTGAGGATCAAACAGAAATTTAATATCAGTCAATATAACAAAAAAAACGGTTCCCTCTCTAGAAAATACTTACAAATTGTGCCTTAGATTATTCACAATTTCTTAGGTTTTTAAATCTTGACCCTTGTCGCTACCTCACTTATAATTGAAATAAAGATAATGCGATTCAATACATTAAATATATTTATTGTTACCAGAAAAACTAAGACATTTAAATATTTCTAATTGAGGTAAATTTCTTTGACAACCTTAGACGCATTGACCAGCAGTACGCAGACTTGTGTTGCAAATGCCAATGAACTACGAAGTTCTTCAGTTTCTCTCCGTTTTAATCTACCGCCGGATGACGAAAATTCTGTTGTTGGTCCACCCCTAGTCGATGATATAGCTGTAGTGGGATCCACCACAATTGGCAAGGTAACGTGTTTACTCAGCCAATCATCGTATTTTAGAAAAAAATTTTGCTCGGTCCTGTTGACAACTTGCAACTTCTGTTTGATTTTGGAAAATAGAGTAGAAAATGACGCCTTGACGAATATCTATCGTTTTTCCACTACGTTTTCATAAATGTCCTTTCTAGTATAAACTAGTACCTGGCTTCTCCTGCCAGGAGAAAGTCACAATCTAAAAGTCTCTGGACACTACCACTCTCGAAAAACCACTTTGGAAGAAACAGGGTGATTTCAAGATAATTGCGTTTTTATGAAGAATTCATTAGCGTAAAAATAAATTTTTTAATCGGTCGTTCTCGAATTAGGTATAACCTCAACATACCTTTTTTTAAAAGGAACCTCCTGCATTTTTGCTAACCTCTCTCTTTTCCCTACCGTTAGTTTGGCTCAATGTAATTTAAAAAAGGTTTTAAAGATGAGTTGCTCCATTAAATCATACCCAAGTTAAAAATGTGTATCTGAAATGGTTTTCAATGCACTATACAATATGTACAATACAGTATCTCGGTTATTTGTTATTATAAAATCTTGCGTTTTCCTAGTTTCCTAGTTTCTTCATACAATGCTTATTGATACACATGTAAGACAACACAATCTATAGAATAAGATGTCACATATTTACAGTAATAATAAATAGTTTGCTTAAAAATGTCGAAAAAAAGTAGTGCGGGGTATCATATTAGGAGCTTAGCAAAACACACCAAATTTAAGAGCCGATATATTAAGAGAATGGGGTTGCTTACATCGACATTCACTTGTTGTTTTATTGTTACTGCTTATTCGAGAATAATGTAAACTGCTTAATTAAAATCGGTTCACGTTTATGAATAATAAACATTATAATACATAAAGTCGATGCGTTATTTCCAATTTTGTCTAAATGAATCAAAAAAAAGCGAGCAAAATACAAACAAATTTATAGTCTAACGTATGCATCACTTATCCCTCCAGTGAATAAAAAAAAATAAAACCACCATTTTATTTT